TTACTGCTGGAGAGGGGAGGAAATTGGGGTAAGCATTCCATAGGAAAATGGCTGGGAAAGGGGGTGGAAGGGGTTGGAGGACAGAGCTGTTTACCACCTCCTGCAGTAATGCACAGAGTAATTACAGCTGCTTCTAAAGCACTGTGGTGTTTCTCACTGATGTGTGCAGTTCCATCCTATGTTGGTGAGCCCAAAGATAATGGAATCCCAGCCTGGTTTGGGTTGGAAGGGACCTCAAAGCTCCTCCAGCTCCAGCCCCTGCCACGGGCAGGGACCCCTTCCACTGGAGCAGCTTGCTCCAAGCCCCTGTGTCCAACCTGGCCTTGAACACTGCCAGGGATGGGGCAGCCACAGCTTCTCTGGGCACCCTGTGCCAGCGCCTCAGCACCCTCACAGGGAAGAGCTTCTGCCTAAGAGCTCATCTCAGTCTCCCCTCTGGCAGGTTAAAGCCATTCCCCTTGGCCTGTCCCTGCAGGCCCTTGTCCAAAGCCCCTCTCCAGGTTTCCTGGAGCCCCTTTAGGCACTGGGAGGTGATGCTGGTTAAACTGGATGATGACAGAGCAGCTCTTCGGAGGCAGGATAAACGAACTGCACAAACTGCCACGGACAGCAGTTAACAGCACGTTGTGGCTTGGTGAAAAACATGCTGGGGAATGCTATAGAGACACTGCTGCATCCTCGCTCCTTCCATGTCAGCAGTGCGGTGAGGTGGAACGAATTGGTGCTCAGGTGGGCAGCAGGGGGCATGAGACCTTCACAGACTTGAATGAGGCTCCTAGGAGGGAGCAGCTCCCTCACACAGGCTGCCTCTTGCCTTTCATAGCTAAGGGAGAGTTCTTCAGCATCCAGCATCTGTTCAACACAGCACCCAGGCACCTCGAGAGACTGAGGCTAAAAAGTGAGCAACAACGTTCTAGAAACAGTTTATTAAGAGCAGATTTCTTTATATTACGGTAAAATTGCATTACTCAAGAAATAAGTTACTTGTACAGTACATACAGAGACAATATATAGAAAACCCTGCTACGCAAGAAGAACTTTCAAATCAATGCACTTGGCACCCACCAAACTGTTAGCTTTAATCACGCTGCTAAAGGCTGCGATGGGGAACGCGCCGGGGCCTCCCCGCCTCTGCTAGCTGCTGGTGGAGGTTGGGTCTGGTCCCTTTGAGCAAGCTCCAAGTTAGTCAAGACTTCAAGGTTCTTCTGTGCTTGTTAGAGTCAAACTGCGCCGGTTGGATGGCAGCAGTGATGGGGGGTCCGCAGAGTGAGAAATGAGAAGCTTTGGCCTCACCCTGGACCTCTTCTTAGAAGCTTTGCCCCAGAATAGTTGGAATGTAAAGGTGACTGGGGAGGCAACGGTGGTGCCCGTGTTGGGTGACCTGCTCCTGTGCTGGTCCTTGGCGATGGGATGAGGGAGGGAGGGAGAGATCAAATAATGCTTTATCTCACGAACTCCTTTAGAACCTGGCACTCATTAGGACCCACAATGGGATGGTTGGGATGTGGCTAGTACACTGGTCTGCCGGCAAACTGCAAGCGGTCCCAAGGTTAAGAGGGAGCTGAAGGGATGTTCTGGCTGGACCCAAGTCCTGTGCTGTGTGCTAGGCCAGGTCCCTGCTGTCACAGAGCGAAGGTGCTGCCCGATTTGCATCTTTACCACCAAACACAACTGTCCTGAGTGCTGGCTGGAGCAGGGGCTCCCCTCCTCACATCCTCGGGGATGCTGTGAGTGGCCATGGGCTGAGGGCTCAGCCGAAGGCACCCGGAGTCGCTGCCGGCTGGGTCATGGCTTTGTTATGCTGGATCCACACTCGTGTTGTACGTGCCCATCGCAGGGCCAAGGCACAAATGGCTTTCATCCAGCTCTAGGAAACGTTCCTTGTCCTCCATGGGAGACCAGGAAGCGGCCGTACCTGCAGCACACCCGTGCAGGGGGCTCTTCCCTTGGCTTCCCCTCTTAAATTCGATGCTGATACTTCCTAAGTGCCCATAAAGCCCCTGTGGGTCAGGGAGCTAAACCTGCCGAGTCCATTGCTGTTCCCAAGTGCCTAGAAAGACATAAAAATGCCTTCAAGTTGCTTCCATTCCATGGAAGGGAATGGCTTAATGCCCACTGCTCATGAAGAGGATGGATTGATGTAGCTGGCAGGAGCAGAAGTAGGGCTGCACGGCCGGCTCGAACCTGGGTCAGAGGCCAGATGCTTTCCAGAACTGGGATTTCAAACTCCTCCAGGAGCTGGGGAAACAGCCCCAAAATCCCCTTGGATCCCAGCGTGGCTGGGATCTGACTGCAGGAGGTCTGAACTGTGCCACAGCAGAGGTCTATGCTGGGGAGGTGGTGGCTGGACGGCCTTTGGGTACCTCACTGGGGAGGTTTGAGGTGGAAATAACTCTATTAAATCACCAGAGCGCCTTTCCCATTGCTCACCGGTGCGGAGAACAGGAGTGCACAGCCCTGGATGTGGCTGATGGGGTGATACGGAACCCAGGAACCCAACGTGTCTTCTGCTCATCAAGCACAGCAATTGCCATTGGAACCACAGAGAAACCCCTTGCAGTTAAACTGCAGGTTACAAATACCTCATGCAAGTGCACGTTTCGTTGTTGGCACCGGAACAATAAGCCCCGGCGTGCCAAAACAACCCATCCCAGCAGCAGCAGCAGCATCTGATTTCTCTTGGCAAGGGCTGTGCCGGCTGTGAATAGCATTCCCTTTGCCCAGCCCGTTCTTCCTTGCAGATGCTCTGAGCGGAGGGTGATTGGGGTGAGAGCACCTCGTCTATTGGGGAAAGGCCCCCTTTGAATGCAGCTGCCTGAAGAGCAGCTCTTCGGCCGCAGCAACGTGCAAGTGTCATCCCAGCGCGTGCTCCGGGAACCCTGCACCAAGCACGGCAAGGAGCTGACACCTTCCTCTCCATCCCTGGAGATGCAGGACCGTGGCGGGGTCTTTATGCGCAGTGCAGGGCGCTGACTTCCCTGGCACAACCCAGCCCTGGTTCTGTGCTCCTGCAGCCTTTGTGCCGGTGCGGGGAGGGGAACGGGATGCGGATGCGGATGAGGAGCTCCAGCTGAGGACAGGGCCGGCTTTGTTCCTCGGGCAGCTCTCCGGGTTTGGCAGCGCTGGAGGTGCAATTGGCTCCTCAGGCTCTGGTTTCAGCTGAGAGCGGGTGACGGCTGCGCTGCTCTGCACCAAAATGCAGGATTCATCGCCTTGCACCCATTTTCGAGTTGGTTTAAACAGAGGAAGGCTTTGCCTGCTCCAAATGCACCAACACAGCCGGGAAAGAGCAGGGGCAGGAGATGGGGAAGCACAAGGTGCAAGTCCCACAATTGACGATGCCCCGTTCCTCCCAGCCCTCTGTTACTACTGATAGACCCGGATTTACTCTGCCCCATCCATCCTCCTGCCTGCACCAGCTCTGCCCTTCCCAGCCCAGAACTTGCCCTTCAGCTCCCAGCCCTGAGCACAGCTCAGTTCCTTGGGCTTTGCCTCCCAACCAGGCTTAACAGCTAAGCCCTGCCTGGAGGCTGGGGCTCTGCAGAGCTCCCTAAACTCAGCCCCAAGAAGCTTTTCCTTCTTGTTTCCTTGCTCTCCAATGAATCCCAACCTGGGAATGCGCCTGCGGGAGGGATCCTGCTTCCGTGGCAAAGCCAAGGAAGGTAAAAACAAAGAGGCTTTCCTGTGAGGAGATTTGAAGGCGATTCTTGCATCCAAAATCCCTGGGAAACCTGGAAGTTGAAACATCCCCTTCCGCGTGTCACAACGGCTCCAGCCCTTCCTCATTCTTAATATAACAGCAGCTTCCAAGCAGCGGTTCCTCTTGGCACAGCACCAGCAGGTAAAGCCTGGAAGAGCAGTGGAGGCTGGGACACGGCCACGCTCCCGGCTCCGGTGATGCTCTCCCGTGCTGGTGCCTTCATCTGGGATAGGACACGTGGAGCCGCAGGGATTAACGCACGGTGATTCCCATTGGAGTCACGGCAGCGCCTGTGTCTTGCTTGGTGTGCAACCTGTGCAAGCAAACAGAGCTCTTCTGCTATCAGGGGCTGCCGGGGAGATGCTCTTCCTCCAGGCAGGGAAGTGTGCACCATAGGGACCCCCCCTCGCCTGCAAGAGGCCGGCGCATAGCTTTAAATACCAACAAATCTCTGCTGTGCAGTGATTTAAGGGGGAAATAAAGGCAGATGAGAGCAGGGTGAGTGCTGGAGAGGCACAAAATGTTTTTGGGGGAAACACACTTTAGATTTGTGCCTAAAATGGTTCCATCATGGGGATAAAATGCCTCAAACACTGGGATAAAACACCTGCATCACCGGGATACACCTCTATCACTGGGGTAAAACACCTCCATCACTGGGATACACCTCTATCACCGGGATAAAACACCTCCATCACAGGGATACACCTCTATCACCGGGATAAAACACCTCCATCACAGGGATACACCTCTATCACCGGGATAAAACACCTCCATCACAGGGATACGCCTCTATCACCGGGATAAAACACCTCCATCACCAGGAGGAGCAGTTTGCCATCAGTCTCTGCGCTGGTTCTCCCCTAGTGACATTATTAACGATGGAGCAGTTAGTGTTCACGTCTCAATCAGCAAGGCCGATGGTGTGAGTGTTCCTCTGGCTGGGGCAGGGAGTCGCTGCAGCTGCTCTGGGTTAGACAGAAGGGTGAGAAAAGCCAGGGTTTTGCCTTATCTAAACCCAAAGCCCTAACTCTGATGGTGACCATCACCTTCACCCGATGCAGGAGCTCAGCTCCAGCAGGCTGAGCTTGGCTGGGGGCTTTGGCAGCAGCAAGTGCTGGGGCAGGAGGATGGGACCCGTCTTCGCCGGAGCAGCAACTGGTGATGAATTACAATCCACTCCTCTTTTTTCCTTTGCCTTAAACCAATTCACTGGGTGCAACTCAAGCCCCCGGGGGGGGACGCTGAGCCCGACGGCGCGCTGCCCGGCACGCGGGGACTCAGGCACGAGAGGCGTGTGTAAACAGTGACAAAGAAAGCTTTGATTATAACAACCAGAAAATACAACTAAGAGGCCCTTTAACAGGCCGAAGAGAGGGAGCACACCCGGACTGGAGTGAAAATTACCCCCTTTCCTTGCAAAAATACAATGCTCATCCCTAACCAGAAGGAAGAAACGGGGCACGTTCGGGGCACGTTCTGTCCCTCCATGGGATACCCAGCAGGGCTCTGGGATTTCTCCACCCGAAAGCGCATCCCGGCGCGCGGCAGCCCCGGTCAGAGCGCTGTGTACTGGTTGTCAACGGCACGGACGTGGCCCCGGCCCGGTGCCTCCACCTCGTAGTCCGAATCGCGGGGCCGGGGCGCCGGGGGTGCCCTGCCGGGGCGCAGGCTCTGCGCCAGCTCCGACGGCGGCGGCACCACGTGGAAGATCTGCTCCGATGGGGGGCCCAGAGGGGGCTCGTCGGGGCCGTGAGGACAGGAGGAGCTGGTGGGGCTGAGGCTGAAGGCAGGGCTCCAGCTGGGAACGGGCAGCGGGAGAGGGACCGTGGTGCTGGAGCCAGGAGCTGCGGGCGAAGGGCAGAGATGGGCGGTCAATGGGATGCTCCTGCCCTGTTGCTCCCGGGTATCGGGTGTGGTGCTGGATGCATCCTGTGCCCCCCCCATCTGCAGTGGTTTGGGGCAGCTTCTCCTTTCTCAAAAGAGGAAGGTGGGAGCTTGGGAGTCACCTTTTGTGCTGCTTCCCTGATGCTTCCGCTTCCCCTCATCCCATGGGCGGCTGCCCAGCCCCAGGGGACCAGCATCCACCCCAAGGACCCTCCTGCTGGGACATTCCTGCACTCCATAGAACCATGGAATGGTTTGGGTTGGAAAGGACCTTAAGCTCCTCCAGTTCCAACCCCTGCCATGGGCAGGGACACCTTCCACTAGAGCAGCTTGCTCCAAGCTCCTGGGTCCAACCTGGCCTTGAACACTGCCAGGGATGGGACATTTACCACCTCTTTGGATAATGTGTTCCAGCGCCTCAGCACCCTCACAGTAAAGAACTTCTTCCTTATATCCAGCCTGAACCTGCCGTGTTTCAGTTTGAACCCATCACCCCTTGTCCCATCAGTCCCTGATGAAGAGCCCCACTCCGGCACCCCATGGAACGTCCCCATCCCTCCGTCCCCATGTACCTTGGGGCTGGGGCAGGACGACAACGTAGCTGGACAGCCGGACGTCGCAGGCTGTCCCGCACTCCAGCGGGATGGGGTAGCGATGGAAGTGCTGCAGCATCTCCACGATGGAGGAGAAGCGGAGGTGTTGGACGCGGCACTGGCCCCGCTCCGTCAGTGCCAGCCGCAGGTGCTGTGGGGGGAAACATGGACCTGTTACCCTTCTACCAGCACCATTGCAGGAGGAGATGATGGGGGACACAGGGATATTTGGGGTAAAGGGGGACAAAGGGCCTTAACATGATGTGCTGCATCCTCAGTGCCTGTATCACTGCATGGATTGTCCCCACCAGGGATGGGTATGGGTTCACCAGCCCGCTGCAAGCACCAGGGCAGGGACCACAAGGGAAGAGCATCTCCATGGGGCGGGATGATGGGACATGGACCATGCTGCGGGGGGGAACACTCCTCAAAGGGCTCCCGCGAGATTCCCACCCCCATCCCACCCCCTCTCCCGCCCGTACCTTGGCTCTGCCCTGGAAGTTGAAGGTGAGCACGTACTCGCCGCGGCGCGTCTCGCTCTGCCGCACCAGGAAGACGCCGTGTCCCTCCAGCCCCCCCACCTGCACCAGGTGAGCCGCCTTCACCCGGGAGATGGGCCCATGGAACCAGGGGCAGGAGGAGAGGAACTGCTCCATCTTCGGCCCCGCCGCCTCCCCAGGCATCGCCCCTGTTAGGGCATAGGGATGAGTGCCCCTGGGAAGCGGGGACCCCCTGCCCGTCGCCCCCATCCACCTCCCCTCTGCACATGGGGATGCTCCATCAGCCAGGTGGGATGCAGAGACTCCCCCCCCCCGGCAAGGGATGCCCCATCCCCAGGGCGTCCCCGCTGCTCACCTTGGCCCTGGGTGTCCGTGCTGGTGGTGGGGCTGGAGGCTGCAGGGTTGGGGTGCCAGCACGCCAGCAGCTCGGGGTCACCACCATCAGACCTGCCGGGATGGGAGAAGCCAGGCTGAGCCCTGGGGGGGGACGGAAGGGTCATCCCCATGCCCAGGCTTGGGGGCATCCATCGGGAGCTTACCCCCTGCGAGCACATTCCCGGATCTCGGCCGTCCAGGAGCTGAGCTGCTGCTCGTCCCCTGCCTCAAACAGGATGTCGGTGGCGTTGGTGACCTGGGGGACATCAGAGAGGGACGTGAGAGGGGGCTTCAGAAAGAGAGGTACGTGTGAGGATGCTGGAGAGGGGCTCTTCATCAGGGACTGTAGCGGTAGGACAAGGGGTGATGGGTTCAGACTGAAACGGGAAGTTCAGGTTGGAGATAAGGCAGAAGCTCTTCCCTGTGAGGGTGCTGAGGCGCTGGCACAGGGTGCCCAGAGAAGCTGTGGCTGCCCCATCCCTGGCAGTGTTCAAGGCCAGGTTGGACACAGGGGCTTGGAGCAAGCTGCTCCAGTGGAAGGGGTCCCTGCCTGTGGCAGGGGTGGGAGCTGGAGGAGCTTTAAGGTCCCTTCCAACCCAAACCAGTCCATGGTTCTATACTCAAATCCCTCCCACCCATGCTGGGCACCAGCCCTGACCCCAGCGGGTGCAGAGCACCCCCCGTGCACTCTTCCCCAGTCCAAGGCTGGGAAGAGGAACTGAAACTTGGCTCAGGAGCCTTTGGCAACCACATGAGCTCCGGAGGGTGGGAAAAGCCTCGGGATCGGGTCTGCACCCCTCATCTGGTCCTTACCTTGAGGACGAAGGTGTGCAGGTTATCGGGCATCTCGAGGCGCGTGCACCTCCGCACCTCCTGCACGGCAGAGCAGGCAGCGTGCAGCTTCGGCTTGGAGCCCTATGGAGGGTAATGGGATGGATGAGCTGAGCCCCAGCTCCGTGAACCACCCCCAAACATCCCACTGCACTGTGGGGACAGGGCTGAGCCTGCCAGGAGCCACCCAGAGCACAGCAGGCAGCAAGGAAGTACCCGGCTCTGCAGGGAAATACCCCACCAGCAAGGAAATACCCCCTGTGGCATGGAAATACCCCATATGGCACTGCTGGGACAGCCTGCACAGAGCGGGACCCATCCTGGTACCCGCAGCAAAGGGATGGGGTGAAGGAGAGGAGGGAGAAGGGGGTTCCAGCATGGCAGCGTGGTTCAGGGAGACGGAATGTACCCACAATGGGGAGGGACACTGGGATGCAGGCAGGGAGCCCCTGCAGATGGGCGCAGGGGTCAGCGGCTGCTGACACAGGCACATGACAAAGTGCTGAGCACGGACTTCCACAGAGGTTAATAATACCCATCCGGGCAGCTTTCGGTTCCCCTCCTGCGCAGCACGCTCCATGTGCCAGCAAGTGAGGCTGCGGCACGTGGCACCCGCTGGGATCAGGGTGTATCCGGGGTGCCAGGGACCACCCTGAGTGCCAAAGGCCCTGGGGGACCCCTGGATCCCAACCCCTCCGTGCTCATCCCTATGGCCAGACACAAGCCACATTTAAAGAGTCTGTGGATGGACAAAAGGACAGGGTACCATGCTCATCCAGCCTGGAGAAGAGAAGAATCCAGGGAGACCTTAGAGCAGCTCCAGTGCCTAAAGGGGCTGCAGGAAACCTGGAGAGGGGCTTTGGACAAGGGCCTGTAGGGACAGGCCAAGGGGAATGGCTTTAACCTGCCAGAGGGGAGACTGAGATGAGCTCTTAGGCAGAAGCTCTTCCCTGTGAGGGTGCTGAGGCGCTGGCACAGGGTGCCCAGAGAAGCTGTGGCTGCCCCATCCCTGGCAGTGCTCAAGGCCAGGTTGGACACAGGGGCTTGGAGCAAGCTGTTCCAATGGAAGGTGTCCCTGGATGAGCTGGATGGGCTTTAAGGTCCCTTCCAACCCACACCAGTGGGGGAGGCTATGAGGATGCCCAACAGCATTTGCCAACCAAAGTGCCCCAATCCTGCTCCAAGCTTGTGCTACTCCCAGTAGCATGTCCATCCCCCATCTCTCCTCCCTCCCTCCACGCTCTCAACTGAGCACTCGGTGTACTTTGGGGCCGGAAACGCAGCACGAGAAGGATCAGGCCTTATCAGCAGTGAAAAGAAAGTTCTTAGAAGTCGCTCATGCACCAGGGTTTGGTGCTACCGCAGCATCGCACGGCATCCTCAGCCCCATTGGCGACAGTGATTGCAGCTGCAATCACTGTCGCCAATGGGGCTGAGGATGCCGTGAGATGCTGCGGTAGCACCAATCCTTCATCCCGAAGGACTTCCATTTTCCTGCATCATTGGATAACCACCGTGCCCTGTGTCAACTCCAAAGGGGGCTGCCCATCCTGGCTGCTTCCCCACCCCTCAGGGTTGTGACACCCAGCACGTCCCCACGCTTGCAGCGTTGTCTTGGCACGCATCCCGACCGCGGCGCTGGGATCGGCTTCCTGCTTTCCTCGGAAGCGGGGAATTTCCAGGAACAGGGAGTTCGCCGAAGCCCTCCGCGTCCCTCCCCGGGGATGGTGCGGATGGGGAGCAGGAAGGGGAGAAGGAAATGATGCAGCAGAGAGATAATGGCACCCGAAAAAGCAGTCTGGCTTCGGAGAAGTGCCTACCACAAGCATGGTGTGCCTGCCCCCCCCCACCCCCTGTACCACAAGATGCCCGGCTCTGGTACCCAGAAAGGGATTTCTTGGTAAGCAAAACTGCACACTCAACACACCGCGTGCTCACCCAGCACCCACGGGCTGCTGCTCAGCAAGAGAGGTGCCACAGCAGCAGCACCACGGGGCTGGGTGCTCCTCGCTGCCAGCTTGGGATGCTCAGGAGGGGATGCTCATGATGTTGCCCCAGCTCAGCCCCTATGCCCATGAGCATCATAGAATGGTTTGGATTTGATTAAGATCACCCAGTTCCAAACCCCTGCCATGGGCAGGGACACCTTACTCTAAACCAGCTTGCTCCGAGCCCCATCCAACCTGGCCTTCAACACTGCCAGGGATGGAGCATTCGAAACTCCCTTGAGCAGCCTGTTTCAGCCCCTCACCACCCTCACAGTAAGGAATCCCTCCCTTACATCTAACCTAAATCTCCCCTGGTTAAGTTTAAACCCATTCCTCCCTATCACTACAAAAAAAAAAACCCAGCACGAGGTTGAGCACCCCTAAAATCACCCAGGGCCACGATACCCCATGAAGCAGCACCCCAGAACACAGCCGCACCGTACCAACGCTGCACAGTCCTGGTCCTGACCCCTGGGCCATCCTGGGACGTGACACCGGTGATCTCCAGCTCACAGGGCACCAGATCCTGCTGCCCCCTCTTCCCCAGGAGCCAGGCACTGCTGGGGACATTGAGCCACCGATGGGGACACTGATCGGTTGGGGATGGAGGAGCTCTTGGCACCTCCTTAACCCCCAGGGATCTGCATCTTTGCGCTTAGCAGGGAATTCTTCCAGAGTTTAGAATCAGGAAGCCCCATCCCGGCCAGTGCCAGGGGACACGGGGAAAAGTGGGAGATGGATGAAAACACCCCCAGGATGAACCCCCCTCCTGCTCCCTCCCCCGAGCATCCTACTGGGGAAGGGCACCCCACTGCACCCCCATCACGGGGAGCACCAGCACGGCACAGGGAATGCCGGCACAGCCCCATGCACCGGGCACTGTGCCCGGGTCAAAGCTGGGTTTGCCGGCACCTGATGACTCCAGGAAGGATCCCGCGCCGGGAGCACGAGCTGAAGGTGAGGCCAAGGTCACAGCTGCACCGGGGCGTTGCAGGCGCAGAGGAGCCGCTGCGTTTCCGCTCGAGTGGCTCTCACCGCAGCTCCTGCCCCACCGCGCTCCCTGCTACCCGCGCTGGCCCCAGAGCCATGGGCACCGGGCTCCTTCCGGCATCCTCCCTCCGCAGCCTCTTCCCGCTCGCCTTTCCTGCTCCCCGGTGTGGGACACCTGCTGAGCATCGCGGCCCCCGTGCATCTCTCCAAGGAGACGTTGGATCGATGCTTTTTTGGGAAGCAGAACTCCTTGGAGCCCACTCGCACGGGCTGGGAAAGCTCCTGCCGTGATGCTCTGAGGCGCTGCTGCAAGGAGCACGGCCCGGATGCTGCACAGGGGACACAGCAGATGCGGGACAGCGCTCCCTGCTCGGTGCAGAGGCAGGCAGGAGCTTTCCAAGAACGAGAGTGAAATCACACTGCCACAGTGCCCACATCCGGGAGGGCCGCAGCCCAGGTCTGAGAGCAGCAGCTCCAGGTCTGACCGGCACCAGCAGGATGCTGGCACCACCACTCAGCCAACCACTGCCAGGTCCCCAAATGCTGCCACCACCCATAAGGCACAGGAGGGAGCTGGAGCCAACCGCCCTTCGCAGGGGATGCGGACAGTGCCCGGGCTCCTGCTGGCAAAGGGATGAGAGTGGTGGCACAGCAATGACAGCGGTGGCAGGGCGATGGTGCAGAGGTGATGGTACCGACGATGACGGTGGTGGTGCAGAGGTGATGGTACTGGCATGGTGATGGATGATGGGAAGAACACATGGCAATGACCGTGGTGGCACAGTGGTGGTGATGAGAATGGCATGGTGATGACGGTGGCGGCACTGCAATGACAGCAGTGGCATGGTGATGAATGACGGCTGCAGTGGCACAGTGATGATGGCAGCGGCACCATGATGATGATACTGGCGTGGCAATGATGGCAGCGACACGGCCCTGTGCAGAGCAGAGAGCAAATCCTTCGAGAGCAGCGGGCGCCGGCGCTGGCCCCTCCATGTGCAGGGATTTCCCTGCGCTGCTCTTTCACTTCCACTCTGAGTCACACCATGGGACATGCCACAGGCCTTTGGGCAAGGACCCTGATGGATACAGGCGAGCTCCATCGCTCCTTGTAAATCCCAGAGCCCCCCAAGCACCCCATACACAAGGGATAAACCTCAGCCGGAGCTGCAGTGTGACGGATGGATGGATGGATGGATGGATGGATGGCCACCGAGACCCACAGCACTGTGAGCACCAGATTGTGCTGCTGCCAAACCACATCCTGCACCCACAGGCCCCAGGGAGTTTTGTGAAGTTTCCCAGCACACAGCCTTATCCCAGCGGAATGCTGGGTGAACTGGAGGGGAAACACGTCCATTGCTGCGGTGCAGGGCAGCAGCAGGGTCCTGTTGGGGGCACCAAGGGCTGTGCCGGAGGGTACAAGGTGTTTGCTGCACCGGTGATCATCCTTGTGGGGTTCCACTGCGGTAATCCCAGTGCTCATCCTCGGGAATTTTGCAGGGCACATCATCCTGGTGTTTGGCCTTGGGGGTTTTCCCTGTGGTTAAACCCAATGCTCATCCTTGAGGACTTTGCACCAGCGATGATCCCAGCACATATCCTTGGGAGCGGTGTTTGCACCATGGCTAATGCCAGTGTTCATCCTCAGGGATTTCCACCACTGCTCATTCCCGTGTTCAGCCTCGCAGCATTTATCCTCCAGTAATCCCAGTACTCCATGGGGTCCTCTGTTCTAGTGCTGGGGACAGGGCCTGGGATCCCACTGATTCAGGCCATTACCCTACACAGCCCCATCCTCTCATGTGCCTCCTGAAACCCAAATCCACTGCAGGCCCCCCCCGAGCTCAGCCCAGCCCGTTAAAGCTCTTGGGGAGGACCCCAGGGTGGCACATTCCCACCCCACCGCCTGCATGAACCTGTTCACTCTGAAACCTGCTGACAGCAGCAGTGAGCACCATCAGGGGGCTGTGTTCTGGGCTTGTGGAACTGGAGGTAGGAGGTTTTCTGCCTCTGTTAAGCAGAGAAACACAAGAGGTGATCCCAGACCCCAGCCATTACCCCCCAAACCCTCCCCTCTGTACATCCGAAACCCCAGCGCATCCC